CAACCAATCGATGTGACTGTCTCACATTGTTGTTTCTCTCTGTCTCTTCCCCTCCCAGTCTCTCTAAAAATCAATGGAAAAAATATCCTCTCGTGAGGATTAATTTTTTAAAAATCACACAAAACTACTTAATCAGATGGACTGCATTCTCTGATCTCTATTGCTTTAAAAGTACAAATCAACAATAAAACATTTTTTTAAAATTCCATACACCTAGGAAATTAAAAATACTTTTACACAATTTGTGGGTTAAAGAGGCAATCATAGTAAAAATTACAAAGTAGAAATTATCACAAAAACTACACATCAAAACTTGGGTGAGAGGAGGATACAACTAAAAGTGGTCCACAGAAGGAAAATTTTATATGTGTATATACATGAGAGTAAATTAAGCTAATAATAGAACAACAACAAAAAAGGAAATAAAGATAAAAGCAAAACTTAATAGAGTAAAAAGCAATATCATAAAAATAAGGATAAAAAGGAAAAAATAGTTGTGAAAAGCAAAATTAAAAGCTAAGTTTTAAAAACGACTGAAATAGATTAAATAAGCCAGACTTCAAAATGAGGAAAGGCATAGGTAAATCATAAACACTTAAAGGGAGTTAGAACTATTTGGTAAGATAGAGATCTTTAAAATTTGCAAGGCAATCATATGAACAAGCAATAAATTTGAATACTTAGATGAAATTAATACTGTTAAATAAGTTTAAAATGATCAAAATTGACTCAGAATAGGAACCCTTGCATTGGCCATTGTGTCCAAGTGGTTAGAGCGTCAGCTCATGCACCAAAGGGTTGTGGGTTTGGTTCTCGTCAAGGACACGTACCTGGGTTGCATGCCCCGGGAGCATGGGAGAGGTAAACAATTGATGTATCTCACATCTCTCTCTTCCTCTCCTTCTCTCTCTCACTCCCCCTCTCCCCTCCACTCTCTAAAAATCAATGGAAAAAATATCCTTGGGTGAGGATTAAAAAAAAAAAAGAATAGGAACCCTCAATAGAACAATAACCATATTACAAATTAAATCAGTAGTTTTAAATCAGCCATCCAGTGGAGGTAAGAGGCCAAATGTTCAAGGACTACATAATCCCTATATTATTGTAGCTGTTCCCAAGAACAGAAAAACATGTTAAACTGCACAATATGTAAGTTTATAGCCTTAGAAAATAATTTTCTGTGTTTATAAAGGAAAATCATAATGTATATCCTGAAATTTTATTGATCTTGAACAAAGATTGGCTGTACTAATAAACCCAACATTCGTAAGTAATATATACAAATTTGATTCCTATTTTAAAAGGATTTATTGGTCAGATATTTTAGTACAAATGATACATGTGGGACATACATTATTAATTTTAGGACATGAAATATTATCAATACATTTTAAAGTTTCAGTATTGTTTTACCAGCCAGTTTCTCAAACATAATTATATTGTTCAAAACCAAAGAAATGGCCCTAGCGGTTAGATTGTCGGCCTGCAGACTGAAGGGTCTGGGGTTTGATTCCCGTCAAGGGCATGTACCATGCATGGTTGCAGGTTCCTACCTGGCCCCATGCAGGAAGCAACCAATTGATGTGAGACACATCGATGTTTCTGTCTTTCCCTCTCTCTTCCACTCTCTCTAAAAATCAGTAGAAAAATATCCTCAGATGAGGATTAAAAAAAAAACAAAGGAAATTATATTTATAGGGAATAAAATAAAATAGGCAGTTTTCATACTGTTCATTTCAGAAGGAAATTATATTTATAGGGAGTAAAATAAAATAGGCAGTTTTCATACTGTTCATTTCAGAAATTTTTGTTAGTATGTTGAATTTTGAAATTTGATTTGATCTTGGGACAAGTACTTTCTGATTTCTTTTATCAGCTATGGTAATTTTTAAGTATATAGAATTAGTTAATTAAAAATTTAAAGCAGGGCAAAATCTTTTGTCTTTGTGATCCAGTAATGTTGATGGATGTCCCTGTCAGGTGTAAGAGATAAGAAAGAAAGAAAAAGGAAAAGTGACTTTATTGCCCACCCATGCTTTAGTAATAATGTAGATAATATAGATAATGACCATCTTACTCTAAGTTTAACTACTACTCTTAATTTCCTGTTAAATTAACTTTTCTTTCTCTTATTTACTTAGAAAATTAAAACTTCAAACCTCAGTACTATGAAAGGGAAGATTTAAGAGGTCAGTTATGCTAAGGTTCCTTCTTGGTAAACAGTATTCAGGCCCTTCATTGTTTTAGATGTTAGGTTTATAATGGTAAACAAAAATGGATGCAATTGCTGTTCTCATGAAGCCTACATTTTAGTGGCAGAGACATGTTAGCCAAATGGTTGCACAAACTAATATATGATTGGAACTTTTGAAGGAGCAGTTCATAGAGCTATAAGTCAAGAAGTTCAGGGAGGTCTTCCTTGAGGAAATGATTATTGACTTGATGTGAAGGATGAAAAAGAACTAATAGACAAATATTATAGGGAAAAGAGAACAGCTTGAGCAAAAAGCCCCTGAGGCAAGAGGGGAAATAAGTTGCTTATTTAAATTTATTTCCAGTGTGTTATTAGTTATGATATTTCAGAAATAAGTCAGATGAAAAATTGGACAAACAACTTTCTAGTTCATTCTGAGTAAGATTTTCACAGTGTATATTATGTTTTGTTTGAAGTTGCCAGAATCTTATATTTACCTATATTTGACTTTAGGTTTAAAATACATTCTAAAGCCAAATTGTGTTGGCATTATCTATACCTTAGAGTTAAAGGTTGTGTAATCAATATACAGGGTGGGGTAAAGTAGGTTTACAATCATCCATATGGAAAATAATACAATAATTAATAAATAATAATACAAGAATAAACTCTGTTTCGCATACTCACAATTGTAAGCCTACTTTTGCCTCACCATATACATAATAATTAAACGTTAAAGCATAAACTGATTTTTATAGTAGGTTGAAAGATTCTACACCATCAAGATTTTTTAAAATCTGCCCTGACCGGTTTGGCTCAGTGGATGGAGCGTTGGCCTGCGGACTGAAGGGTCCCAGGTTCGATTCCGGTCAAGGGCATGTACCTTGGTTGCGGGCACATCCCCAGTACGGGGTGTGCAGGAGGCAGCTGATCGATGTCTCTCTCTCATCGATGTTTCTGGCTCTCTATCCCTCTCCCTTCCTCTCTGTAAAAAATCAATAAAATATATTTTTTTAAAAGATTTTTTAAAATCTATTTTAGAGTGCAGTTCCTGTCACCACAGGCCAATGTAATGTTTCCATTGGGTTGACAATCTACTCTTATTTTTCTTTTTTAAAATATATTTGTATTGATTTCAGAGGGGAAGGGAGAGGAAGAGAGAGAGATAGAAACATCAATGATGAGAGAGAATCATTGATCGGCTGCCTCTTGCATGCCCCACACTGGGGATCAAGCCTGCAATCTGGGCATGTGCCCTGATCAGAAATTGAACCCTAATCTGGTTCATGGGTCAACACTCAACCACTGAGCCATGTGGCTGGGCTCTACTCTTATTTTTCATTATTAGTTTGCCTGAGTTGTAGATCAGATAGTTATGTAAGTAGATTAAATTCTATCTTTTTGGCAAAGCAAACAATTTTTTAAATTTACTATGTATTAGGTAGCTAAAGGATTCTCAATTAGAACAGAGCTGAAATAAAGCTTGACTTAATCACTGTTCTTTATCAAGTATTTCTTAGTTACAAAAGAAGACCAGAATAACAGAAATTACTGTTTGCACACAGTGAAAAAGTGGATAGGTAAGAGAACTTTTCATAGAAGTGATGTTATCAGCTACATTTTAATATTTAGATGAGTGAATAAGAGTTCACAGATCTATCAGCAGATAGTGCTACTTACCATACAGGTATAATCCTTATAGTGTCATTTGCTATTAGGATGGTTGGAAGCTGTTTAGTCATGCATTCCTCTTGCTGGCAAACTTCCTAGAATAACAGTCCTTATATTATAAAAGTGTTTCTTTTGCCTTTGATACTCAAATATTTAATTTCTACTCTTAAGAAATATCTGCTCATGGTATATTTTTTGTTTTCTTTTTCCCTTTATTCCTGAAATAACAGTATTTTTCTCCAGGGATTGGTTTCTGTCCTTTGATAGAGTTCTTATTGAATTCTGATATAAGATCAAGATCCTCCTAATCACCTCACAATACTAAGGCTCCTTTATCACAGTTCAGATGAATAGTTTGGAAAATATCTTTTTAATCTTAGGATTAGGAAAATGCAGAGATTTCTCTTTGGGGCTCAAACTAAACATAAGTATTATCTTTAATGGTTATAGTTTGGTATACAAAACTGAACTTGACCTTAAAAGGTTACACCACCTAGTGTGGACTGAAATTAATCCTATATTTTGGAGGAATTGAGGTAGGTTGTATAAGTGACTACATGGAGTAAGTATTAAATCTTCATTATGTCTATGTCATTGATATTAAGTATTTAAAATAGGTGCTTAATGAGTTATTGATGGATTATCTTTGTTTCTTTAATAGGAACATGAATCTGAAGGTGGAAGAACACCTTTGATGAAAGCTGCAAGAGCTGGTCATTTGTGCACTGTGCAGTTTCTTATTAGCAAAGGTAAAGAAAGTACAAGTGATCATTTCCAAGAGGCTACAATTTCTGGGGGTAAAAAATCCTAAACTTGCAATTTATATTAAAGCTACTTTGCCTTTAACATAATTACTATATTCTAGTCCTGTGTTGCTATATTTTTTTGGTAATCATAGAGTTTGTGAGATACTTACTGGAATCTTTATTAGTTTTGAGTTTGAAGTTTTTGTCAGCCAAATAGCAGGTGGTTACTCCCAAAAGTTGGAAAAGCCAAATGTAAATGTCTGTATATTTAGTAGATATTGTTCACCACTTAATGATTATAAGGCCAGTTCTGCTGGAAATACGGGGAGGTAGAAGGGGGGAAGTGTGCTACTGTTGTTTATGGGACAGTTAAATTAATCAAGTATGCAAAGGTATTATTTATTATTATTGTATTTATTTGATTATATTTAAGCAAAGAAGTTCAAATGATGCATGACGAAGTAGTTCAATACTGTTTACTGTAGAAAAGTGAAACACTTCTGAACTCATGTTAGGTTGAACCATATAAAATTGTCATTTTATACATCAAAAAATGGTGTATAATATCAGCAGTTTCATTTGGTTCAGTCTAACTTTGTGTATTATAGTGTTAGAGGTACTTGGGCATCTGATAAAAAACTCTAGGATAGGACGGCAAAATGCAAGGAAGGTCCACTCAGGTGATGCCATATTATTAAAATAAAAATTTTCTATCTCTATTCCAATAAAACTCATATTTTGTGCCATTAAGAATGCAGTATAATATTTTTATTATTTTAAAGATAAAGTATTTCTTTAATTAGATAAAACAAGGTTTATTTTCTCTATATCACATTTTTGCTACCAAGTAAGGCCTATCTTTTTCTTTTTTTTAATTTTTATTTATTGATTCTAGAGGGAGAGAAAGAAACATCAATTTGTTGTTTCACTTATTTGTACATTCATTGGTTGATTCTTATGTGTCCTGACCAGAGATTAAACCCACAACCTTGGCATACTAGGACAATGCTCTAACCAACTGAGCTACTTGGCCAGGGCTAAGACCTATCTATAATAATAAAAGCATAATATGCTAATTAGACCAGACATCCTTCCAGACAACCTTCCAGATGAAGTTGGGGCTGCAAGGGAAGCCCAGGTCCCTGGTGCCTGCCAGCGGCCAGAGGGAAGCCCGGGTCCCAGGTGCCAGAGGGAAGCCCAGGTCACGGGTGCCAGAAGGAAGCCGGTGCCAGCAGCTGGAGGAAGGAAGGCCTACTCTGACCACTGGGTACACTGGCTCTTGGATCTCTAAGGAGGTGCTAATTTAGCCTCTGCCTGAGGCTACCCAGCAGGAGCTATGGAGAGATCTGCAGATTCCTCTTCTTTGTTTGGGGTTTGGAGGTGCCCAGATGAGGCCCAGCTGTGAAGCAATGCAAGCTGCTCCTGTCTCAACATTATGCCCAAATCACACTAAATTGCTTTGTAATGGGGAGGGGTATTTATTTGTTTTGCTTTTTCTCATAGGGTCCACTCTGCCTAGAATGATGGTGAAGATGGTGCTGATAAAGATTATGGTTTTAAAATAACTAATATATAACATTTCAAAATGCTAACTAGTTATATCTTTTTTGCTTTTAAGCATTGAATCAATAGATAATAAATACAAAGATTTATTGGTGGATAAAAATGTACTATTAATCATGGAGAGCATTATGCTAAGTGAAATAAGCCAGCCAGAGAAAGATTAATCTGTATATATATAAAAAGCCAGTGACCGGAATGCCATAATGACCAGAACGACCAGTCGCTATGATGGCCACTGTGGCCAGCGAACTGGACTGACCGAGGGGCAGGGCTGATGGCCAACCTCCTGCAGCCCCTCCCCCCAGCTGGCCCCGCTCCTGATTGGCCTCCTTAACCTCGATCAATGGTGGGGAGGCTAGCCAACTCCCCCTGTGGCCCTTCCCCCAGGCCAGCCCCGCCCCCAATGGGCCCCAACCACCCAATCTGCCCGTAGTCCCTCCCCCTGGCCCGGCCCTGCTCTGATTGCCCCCCCTACCCCAATAGGGGGTGGGGCCTGCATGCCAACCTCCTGCAGCCCCTCCCTCTGCTAGCCCTGCCCCCGATGGGCTCCCACCACACCAATCGGGGGCAGGGCTGGCTAGCCAACCTCCCATGGCTCCTCCCCCCGCCGCTGATCCCCATTCGATCCCCCCTACCCCAAGTGGGGGCAGGGCCTGCCAGCCAATCGCCCGTGGCCCAACCCCCAGCCAGCCGGTTCCTGATCGTTCCGATCGGGGTGGGCTGGCTGGCCAACTTACTGCCGTCTCCTCCTCCCGACAGGCCCAGCCCCGATCCGCCCCGATTGGGGCCTGGCCAGCCAGACCCCACCCATGCACGAATTCATGCACTGGGCCTCTAGTCTTTATATAATGCTATAACATACTCTGTAAAAATTATTTACCTCAACCACACATAAGTATAAACAGATGGATAACCTTGGAAGTTCTCCCATGCTCCTTTCATACCCAACTACCCTGCTAAGCATATAATTAGGCTTGTCAGGAGTAGGAACACATTGATTATAGTTTTTCTAGGCTGTAGTAACTACTAAATAGTCTATAATCTAAATGTATTATTAACCTCCTGGCAGGCATGGCATCAACCTATGAACCATGAGGTCATTGTTGGATTCCTCATCAGGGCACATGCCCATGTTGCAGCTCAGTCCCCAGTTTGGGGTGTGCAGGAGACAGCCGATCAAATGATTCTTTCTCATCATTGATGTTTCTGTCTCTCTCCCTCTCCCTTCCTTTCTGAAATCAATAAAAATATATTTTTTAAAGTAAATGAAATAAATTTATTATTAGCAACTTTAAAAATAATCTCATGTTGCTAATGGAGGATGTTTATTGATGTGTCTTGCCTTTCCCAAGGATTAGGTTCAGCTAGATATTTCTGAAAATTAAATAAATTAATAATAGTTTCACCCATAGATTTATTTTTCTCCTCATTAAGTAAGTTTGGAATTAAGGAAGAGGGAAGAATGAATATTGCTATAGTCTTAACTATCTAGGTTAGCCCTCTGGGGTCTGTAAAAGATGATTGAACTAAAATATAGTTCTTTTTTTCCAGAGGCCAAAAACAAATTTTTTTTAATTAAATCTTTATTGTTCAGATTATTACAGTTGTTCCTCTTTTTTCCCCCCATAGCTCCCCTCCACCCGGTTCCCACCCCACCCTCTGTCCTCATCCATAGGTGTATGATTTT